ATTTTAATATTGGATTTCTCAAACTATCTTCCATTTTTTTTCCTTCCAATCAGTTATATATATACATAAAAATTTCTTTAATCTCCTCTTATATTTGAATCCAAAATAAAAAAACAAATCAAAATTTTTTCCACTCCTTTTTCAAGAAAGGGGCTAAAAGCCCAAATAACAGAAAATTACATGTAATAATTTCGTTGTAAAGCCACTTCTATAACTTTAATAAAAATAAAATACTTACGGAGCAGATTTAATAAGATATAAATAATAAGATGTGAAAACTTAATTATCGGATAATTTGCATGCCAATTCGCACACGTATTGCACTGCTTATTACACCAAAATTTCTTACAGGAAAAAAACCTGGGATGTCACTATCCAAATTTTGGGAAGCTTTGGAATATACTTATCAAAAACAGATTATATAAAAATTTCAGTGTTTCAGTATTTTTTTAAAATATTATTTACATCAAAACTAATAAAATCAAATAATAGTTTAAAAAATTTTGTTGTCAGATAAAATAAAATAAATAATTCATAACACTTATTACATTATCAAAATCAAAACTTAATTAAATTAAAATAATAATAAAATATCTAAAATATCGAATTAAAACTAAAAAAAAGTCTTGCGGAATAAGATATATCAACTAAAACTAAAGAAGTAGTAACATTCAACGAAATCTACTTGCTAATAGAAACTAAAAACCTAAAATAATATTAAAATGAGTAATAAGTTTAATCAACTCAGTGAAGAAATAATATTTAACATATATTAATAGTTTGTAAGTCAATATATCTTGATATAAATATATATATTAAACATATAATTAAAATAATAGAATTCATATAAGAGATCAGATAAAATCCAAAAGTGATTAAATGACACTTGAAGGTAACTAATGTGGGAAAATCAGTTATTATAGACTGATATCTCTTTCACTAGCTAAATATATATAATATTATGTACATTTACACTAATTACTCTCTACTAACATGAAATTATTGATAAGTATATCGTTATCAAGATATAATAAATATTCTTAATATTTATTAAAGTAATGTATACCATATTTAATAGAATTTAATTCAATAAAATATAGTGTGAAACTCAAGAATAAATAAGTATTCAGATAATAAAACAAAATATACAAATATTCAAGAATTAATAAATTATACTCATTATATATATATATATATTAAAAATTATATTATTCATCCAAAAAACAAAAAATAAAAAATGCAGAATCGAAAAATTAATAAAAATTGTTAAGAGGAACATCAGTAAAACTTATAACGGATGCAAAAGATATTAAAAAACAACTCAAAACAAAATAACATAAAAAATTAAAAATCTAAACTTAAAAATTAAAATGTAAATATAAAGTTGGATTATCTCACCTAATCAATTTCAAATATTATTTAAATTAATCAAACCTAATAAAACTCATAAAACTTTTGATCAACTAAAATGATCAATTCGTTGACCACCATTATAAACCACCCAATCATCAATTTAAATAAACATGCAAATATGTGTATCAAGCAAAACCATTTGATTATTTGATTAGAATTTTTAAAATGTTAATTTGCTAGTTTTCAACATCGTAAATCCCCAAAATAAATCTTTTGTTTTTCAACAAGCTTATAATCCAAACATCAAATTAGTTAATTTGAGTCCAACTAGCACTTTAATATATTAATTTTAAATTTTAAATCATTTAATCATAGAAGTATAACAAAATCCTAATTTTTTCTTTAATTTTTCTATAAATAAATTATAATAAAAAGAAAAACAAACCAAACTAAATCTAAAAAACCAAAATATAAATAATAAAAAGAAAAACACACCAAACTAAATCTAAAAAACCAAAATATCTTTGTGTTTTTAAGGATGTCATGGCAAGAAGGGAAGAAAAGAGAGCGGAAAATAATTTTTTCTTGCATTTTTATTTATTTATAAATACTAGATTAATTTTGTTGGGTTGGAATTAATATGAGTTTGGGCTTGGATAAAGAATTTGGACTTCTCCTGGTATTCATCTCCTAGTACTTACCAACTACAAAAACTTTTTTGTCGTTTTCAAGAGCCAATGAGCTAACAAGAAAAGCTGATGTCATGTGGAAATTAACATTAATCTAAATATATTATCCTCATATATATATATATAAACAAGAAACCAGAGGAAACCCAAGAACCATAAATCTTCCAATTCCTTTCTTATAAATGCTATCTACAAGCCCTACCTCTCTCTGCCTCCCTTCAAAACCCACCTTCAATAGAACCCGCTCTTTCCGCTGCTCTGCAGCCGGAGACCTCTCATTCCCGCGGTGGCTTCAATTCACCTTGGCTGCTGATGCGTCCATTGGCGGAGGCAGCATCCGGATTGGACAAGAACTAGATGGAGCCGCTTCCGCAGATGGTGAGAGGAAGGGGTTTGGGGGAAATAGTGGTGGCAGCAGCATAAGAGCGAACGCAAGAGAAAAGAAATGGTCAAGAAACAGAGAGAGTTATTTGGCAGATAATGAAGATGCTTTACCTCTCCCAATGACTTATCCTGATTCTAAACCTGTGCCTCCTGAAGAGATTGATAAACGGTTAAGTTGTGATCCTGAAGTTGAGGTATAGCAATTATTTATTTGATGCTGCTACATTTCAAAATTAATGATAAGTACAGCAATGGTTTTTTCTTTTATTATCTAATTAGGATTATTTGGCAATTTCGTTTCATTGTCATGTTCAACTTAGAGTTTTTTCCCATTATTTTGCTTGCTCTTGGAATTAATTTGTGCATCCATTGTAGATATAGCAAGAAATGTAGAGTTAGGTTACGGTATCTGGCCAATTTAGCTTCATCTTAAGCCTCTTCAGCACTTCAATTCTTGCACGTAAAAATGTAAGATTGAAAGGAGAATATATTTTTGGTGAAACAACTAGTGAAGGCCACATTTCGTTTGCGTAGAATTAGGAATGGAATTGGAACCCTTTTTTGGTTCCCGTGAAATGCTGTTTGGTTTGTCATTAGTAGGCAAGAATTAGAATTTCACAAGACAGAAACAGAATAATATATCTGGAATGGAACCAGAATCTTATGTTGAGTTACTCAAGAATTAGAATTTCTGGTGAAATAAGATATTTCATGTTGATTTAGGCAAATTACTTGTTTTTGGTAAAAAGTTAAATGGCATGACTATTAGAGGAACATAATATTAATTTTGGGAGGAATCAGACTCTTATTCACATTCCATTCTTAATTCCAAGGAAATCTAATGAAGCTAAGGGACAATAGACTAGAAGAAAGACTTCTGTTCTCGAAAGTACTGTAACTGGTGAATAGAGGCTGCATGGTGGTTGGAGCAATTTAAAATTAGTTGTTGCTCTAAACCGAGATCAACAAGTGGATGTTTCATATTTCAGGTTTTGTACTATGTGACACCATGTTATTATTTATGGCTATCAGGTGCCTCATGAATGTAGTTCTGAATCTAATTTCTGGAATTGTAGGATTGCAGAGAGGTGGTTTATGAGTGGACTGGAAAGTGTCGAAGTTGCCAGGGTTCAGGGTTTGTCAGCTATTTTAATAAAAGGGGGAAGGAGGTTACCTGCAAATGTGTACCATGCCTTGGAATTGGTAATTTTCTTCTTTGCTAGCCCACAACCTTTATTCAAAATTCACTGTATGAAACTGAGAAATGCTAGGGATGACATGATATTATCTCTCATAATACCAAGCTGCTATATCATTTCAAAGCTGTAAACGTGGATGCATTACCATCCATGCAAGTTAGCCCTTTGGATACCTGGATAAACAAATATATAAAAATGAATCCTGCTTTCTACACAAGCGTGGATTAACATGTTTGATGTTTCTTGACTGCATGTAAAACCATGTTTTAAAATGTATGTGATGAGTTATATATCTTGAAGTGGAAATTAGAACTCATTATTTGATCCCATAAAAAAAGAACTCATAATTTGATTACCTGCAAAGCTTACATGATCTCAGGATTGTATTGATTAATATGAGCAACGATGTGTATAAGTATCTTCTTTTCTAACAGTGTTTATCTCTTTCTACCTGTATGATTGAGGTGGTGATGTCTAAATTGTGGGCTTTTGGTTTGTCCTATATGATTGCAGTTTGCTAGGTGTGCAAATCTGTGAGGCCCGTGGTTTGGTTGATTAAACAGAATATGTAATCCCTAGGGAAATGTTTGGCAACAAGTTTTGCAAATTCCCTTTTTCTGCTTCTAGAAGCAGAGAAGGGTTCCATTGACAGCTTATTCTCTTAGGAAGCCTTGTCAGGGGAATTTAGGAAGGGTTAAAGTTCAGATAACTTTTTCATATTGCTTTTTTCTCTTCGTGGGTTGGGGGAGTAAAGATATTCTCACATGGTCTTGGTCCCCTTTCTCTCTATATCTTCTTAATTATTGAATTACTTAAGAGCATTTTAGGAGAACTTGAAATAGTCTCTCATGAGCATCGGCTCAATATTCGGAACAACGACATCGTGGTTTGCCTTTTTTCTTTTGCCTGTTGTGGAGTTACCTTTTAAAGTTGACTTTCAATACTGTTATGATGCAGGATACGTACAAAAGATAACAGCTCGGAAAGACATTGCTGTAATGGAGGAATTAGACAATGGAAAGCCATCCTGACCTATGACAAGTTTTTTGTGCCCCGGGAGTTTATCTAATTGCAACCAATAAGTTGTAGTCTTCCCCTGTGCAACTGTTAACATTCTTCATGGAGACTAGTCATTACATTTAAAGAGAGAGAAAAAGGAGAATCCTCAAAAGGAGAATTTGGATAAAAAACACAAGGAATTCATTGTAACTTTTGCAAAGAATTATTCTTTTCTCAAATTGTATTCCGTTTTCCATAACCACAGCTTTGTTCGTTGTTTATCTTACATGTCAGTTCAGAATCTTATGATGTATTTGCTTGCAAGGAAAAACTGACTTTTTCATCTATGCAAGCTTTAAATATATGGTCATCTTCCATGTGTCCTTGGCCAAAGGCATCAAATATATCAGCTGTTATAGTGTTCACGGCCGAGTAAAACTTTGCAGCTATCAACTTTTCTCCCAACATCAACAGGGAAATGGCAAACCTTAGCTTTCTAGAGTTCCAGTACAAGCTTTCAAGGAACAAGTTTTTGCGAAAGCCATCTCGATTGTTTTCTTCCCGGGATAGACAAAGCTCTGGCATACTGTCCACTTTCCAGCCAAATATGAAGGAAATGAGGCAAGTTTTTGATAAATTTGATTCCAACAAAGATGGCAAGATTTCTCAGCAAGAGTACAAGGCTACCCTGAGAGCGTTGGGACAGGGTAGCATGCTTGGAGAAGTGCCAAAAATTTTCCAGGTTGTTGATTTGGATGGAGATGGATACATTGATTTCAAAGAGTTTATGGAAGCGCAGAAGAAGGGAGGAGGAATTAGGACAACAGACATACAGACTGCTTTCCAGACATTTGATTCGAACAGAGATGGTAAGATAAGCGCAGAGGAAGTTATGGAAGTCCTGAGGCGTCTTGGTGAGAGGTGCAGCCTAGAGGATTGCCGGAGAATGGTGAACGCAGTGGACATTGATGGTGATGGTATGGTTAACATGGACGAGTTTATGACAATGATGACTCAATCGATGACTAGTGGTTAAGATGGAGGGTATGCTTGCGGAAATCCAATTCTCTTATTTGTATCCTCGCTGATTTTCTATGTATGTGCTCCGGTCAAAACTTCGTGTAGAAGCTTTTTCTCTCTCTAGAATCCTTAGCTTGGACATCTCTTTAATCATGATAGTAACTTCTTTTTATATGCTTTTTTCTCATCATTTGGGATCTGCAAAATAAAAATAATAATATTAAAAAAAACCCTTATTCTATATGCTTATGTTATAAAATCATAAGAACTTTCTTTTTATATATACGAGCACTAGGCTTATGTTATAAAATCATAAGAATTTTTTTTTTTAGATTAACGTGGGTATCCGGGCCAGCTTGCGCGCACC